AAATGTAACATCATGAGACCTAGATAGCAATCTAGTACTGCGATTAAATTCGTAATGTCACGGTAAGAAAGAGGAAAGTTCAATAGAAATATTCCCGTGAAAAGGGATGCTACATTACGGCGGTTAGAAAGTGACTGTAGCCGAGATGCCAGGTCAGGATTATTAACATTGCAAATCCTTTTGATTTTTTTTTCTAGATACATAGCGTATGCCCCAAACCATAAAATGCACAAGAATTATGGTGGTGGGAATGTCTGTGTAAATAATTTTAACGTGTGATTCCAGAAAAAAACTACGCATGGCAGAAAGGAAAACAGTTCAGTCCAGTTTTGTATTCTGTTTTTTTTTTTTTAAGTTCGGTCCGAGTGAGAAACTGAACTGGGGGAAATAAAAGTTCTACCTTCGACCAACTTTATGTAATGTAAGTGTCCAAAGATTAGAATTGTTTTTAAGGAGTAACTCTTGCCGAGCCGATAACTTTTTAGCAAATCCACCCACCCATATATATATATATATATATATATATATATATATATATGTATGTGTGTGTGTGTGTGTGTGTGTGTGTGTGTGTGTGTATATATATTTATAGATAAACAGATAGATAAACAGGCATAGATAGATAGATAGATAGATAGATAGATAGAATGCGATAGATTGAAACAAACTGTGATAGATAGATAGATAGATAGATAGATAGATAGATAGATAGATTGAAACAAACTGAGATAGATAGATAGATATTTCCTTGGAGACTGCGATAGATAGATAGTTCGATAGATAGATAGATTCTGGATAGATAGATAGATAGATGAGTTCCATATAATCAAGACAGATACATACAGATTTACTATCAACAAAAGGATAGATAGATTATAGATAAAACAGACTGGGATAGATAGATAGATAGATAGATAGATAATAGATTTATTTTAGATAGAATGAAATAGATTGAAACAAACTGTTCATAGATAGATAGATAGATAGATAGATAGATAGATAAAAAAAAAAAAACAGGCCTAGATAGATAAATAAGAACAGCCATAGATAGATAGATAGATAGATAGATAGATAGATAGATAGATATAATCAGACAGATACATACAGATAGATACTATCAACAAAAAGATAGATAGATAGATAGATAGAAACAGACTGCGATAGATAGATAGATAGATAGATAGATAGATAGATAGATAGATAGAATGAAATAGATTGAAAACAAACGGTGCATTTGAACACGTAAATAGTATTGGTTATTTGTAATTTTGATTTGCCCTGTCTGATGATCGCAAAACCTTGAAACCCAGGGTTACAAACTCATATTTTTACAACTGAATATATATATATATATATATATATATATATATATATATATATATATATATATATATATATGTATGTATGTATAGGGTGTCAAAAAAATGTATACACTTTTAAATATTAATAGTTAATACATTTTTTATATGGATGAAAATATGCAAAACAGATGGATTTGAAGAAGAGAGACAGTTGAATACCCACCTAGATCACCAGATTTGACACCCTTGGATTTCTTTTTGTGGGGGTTTCTAAAAGACAAAGTTTACAGCAGGAAACCTGAAACAATTGCTGAAATAACAGTAGCAATTGAAAAAGAATGTGCTCAAATACCAGAGGAAATGATACTGGACATTTGTAGGTCTATTTCTTCAAGATATGAAAAGTGTATTGAACAGAACGGCAACCAGTTTGAGCACTTGATGTGAACTTATATGAACATTCTGCCATTGTTCCAAGTAGCTTTTATCTTATTAAAGTTAATTTTCTATGTTTTTGTGTATTTTTCTCTTAAATTCTTTAAATGTGTATTCTTTCTCTTGTATTAATCTTTTTTACAAGTCAAAATACATAAATGGAATAAGTTAGAACGATTCATAGAGTGTATACATTATTTTGGTACACACTGTATACACACACACAGATATATATATATATATATATATATATATATATATATATATATATATATATATATATATAATAAAATAAAAAAAGACCACTTTAAGGTTCCATGTAATAATTATTTCACCACAGCCCTTTTAAAAGGACTGTGGGTCATCAGACTTTTACTTCCAAACAAAAAAAAAAAATATATATATATATATATATATATATATATATATATATATATATATATATCAAGAAAGACATTCGGATTACTAACACAAAAACAGAGAATGTCTCATATCGAGAATATTTAACCTTGAAAATCATAAGGAAAAAATTAATTATTTTTAATAATAAGTGGAAATCTCCACCTTTTACCTGAAGACGGTCGCGAGACCAGAAACCCGTGTAGTAAAATTATGGAAAATAAAACAAAATATTGTTTTTTTTTGAATCCACATTACAACCAAAAACGTTTGCGGCGCCTCTCTTCTCGTTTTAATATACACATTTTTCTCTCAACTGGAACCACCATATCCTCTTTCTTATATATATATATATATATATATATATATATATATATATATATATATATATATATATATATGAATAAAGTATATTTCATCAGCATCTATTTATCCAAAGACTTTTGATTAAAAACAACCGTCAACACCTGTTTAATATTTTTATTATTTTCCCAATTTTCGATGAAGGTCTTGGTTGATCGAAGATTTAAATCAACTGACCGTAATTCATATTTAATGAACTCTCTACAGTTCAACCACAACTTCCAAAAGAATACCAGGATGTAGACAAAGGAATTCTAACTACCACACAGACGCCATATTGTTTCTTGAGAATGACTGCGAAAGTCGAAAGTACTTGGACAAATATAATGAAATAAGAACTTCGTACTGTTTATCCACAACATCGAGCCCAATAATGACGGTAAACTACATCCGCGTGCTGGGTAAGACGAGAAACTACGTTCAACAGTAAGGCCTCTGGTCAGGAGGTTTTGAGGAGCGTGAAACCACCTTTTAATTGCTGGTGTTCCCAGGTCCATTTTGACCCAGTGTGGTAGCACCTGTTTGGGTCCCAGCTATGGGTAAATAGTTAATCCCCAAACTGTTAAAAGGCTATGAAAGTGTAAAAATATGTTTTAATTCCAGAAAATACTTTCTAAAAATTATTAACAGCAGTAATTTTTTGAACAATACATTTAAAAAAAAGATTACCAGCAATACATTTTTGAAACAACAAGATAAAAATCTTGTGGCATTAAATAACCCATTGAGGTTTTGATATGCCGTAAACCAAACCAAGCCAAACCAAACTAATCAACACCTTATCCGAAATTTAGAAAAAATTTCGAAAAAAAATTCGAAAAAATATAAAAAATTAAACAGACCTTGCTGTTTTTTTTTAAATCAAAAGTTTCTTTACATATATTATTGCTCTCCATCTTTTACTTCCACCATTAAGGCTAATTTTACCGGTAACACACCAATATCTATTGCTAAACAATAATAATTATAACTACCAACTTAATCACAACCATCAACAAAACACAAGCAGCTAGCGTTGAAAATACAAACATCATCAACACCATGACCACAAAGAGAACCCAGCTTAACGAAAGTGGCAGTGAAAAGGACCAGTCCAATAATAGTGTATGTGCGTGTCTAGACATGTGTGGATGTGTGTGAGAGGTAGTGTAAGTTTCTCTGACGGTCCATGCGGTAGATCTGAAAAGCGTCAAGAACACCTCTACCCGATCCTTGTTGAAACGATCATCGCTACACATAAACAGCTAAGGTCCTGACACCAAAATAGAATTACAACTGGATATGTATGTATGCACGAACGAACGGATATATATCTGCGCCTAGTCTCGGATTGCATATATGGATGTGTTGGTGTGAACCAAAATGCTTACACCTGTGTGTATGTGTATCTATACGCATGAGAGTGTCATCCCAAAGAAACACATAAGTAGATTACCCTCCCACCACCAAACATAGCCAAACAAGCATAAATAAATCCAACTTTCAAAAAGTAAACCATTTTGTCTGATGACACCAAAAGCGTGAAACAATGGGTCAAAAAAACTGATATCCATACAACTTATTATATTAGTTCTATTACTGATATTGAGCGCTTTCCACTAAGCAGCTCGTATAGAAAATAATATATATATATATATATATATATATATATATATATATATATATATATATATATATATATATATATATATATATATACTTACCTATACTTATACCTGCTGCTAGGTATAACTAAGTTTGAAAAGAATCGTCTGAGATAATTAATGACCAACATTAAATCTCGGGCTAATACATCAGCCTATATGACGATCAACCCTTCAGTATGCCCTTTGTGTGGATTTGTTTGCAAATCTCGTGTAGGATTATCGTCTCATAGGAAACATAAACATAAACATAAAAACTGAATTGAAAGACACTCATGCGTCGAAAACGGGGAGTCCATCATATATATATATATATATATATATATATATATATATATATATATATATATATAAATATATATATATATGGAGAGAGAGAGAAAATTTTAATATGAATATTATAATGATAGATTCATGAAGAAGTCTCAATGTATCAAAATACAGAGCAACATGATATATATCAACAGAAAAAACTAACACATCAACGAAAAATCTGGTAATACATTTATTTCGGCAGGTAAGTATTGAATTGAATACATGCCTCATCAGACCGGAAATATAAAATCTTGTAATTCCGATTTGATGATTCAGGTATTAAAATCCTACCTGCCGAAATAAATTTATTATCGTATTTTTCGAGATGTCTTAAGTTTTTTTCCTTTAATATATATATATATATATATATATATATATATATATATATAATGTGATAACAATGTATACATTTTAATATATCAAAAACAATTTTAGGACAGAAATGTATGACAAAGTTTTTGTGTAAAGCGCTTCGTCTTTTAAGACCTCATCAGGCTCAGTTTATGTTGATTTTAATGCGACGCTGAGAATTTTAAATTTAAACATGTTCTATCTATCTATCTATCTATCTATCTATCTATATGTGTGTGTGTGTGTGTGTGTGTTTATAAAATCTAACAGATTTCAGTTATATTCTCACAAACAGAAGAAAAAGAATCTAAATGAAATCAACTTTGTCATATATATATATATATATATATATATATATATATATATATATATATATATATATATAGGACCGGTGTATACTATAACTGACCCCAGTCTCGACCACAAGCGGATGAGGGAAGCCTGATTTTGGCACCCGGTATCTGATCAACATTTGCTACCTACATTTATATATGTTACAAATTAAATAAGCAGAACTGACTATCAAAGCTTGAAAAATTTTCACGGATTTTGTCGTCAGTCTAAGGTCATTTTGTTTTCGTCCAAATCCGTGAATTTGTTTTGCTCATAATGCATCTCGTAGAAACACTATATAAAATTTATTAATTTTTTTAGCCGTCATGTTGAATGTGTTACCATTATTTATTTTAACAAAAAAACCCCCAAAAACAAAAACAAAACTGAAATTGATGCTAAAAATTGCTGCAAAACGTTGTTGATTTGTATAAGATGGGAGCATCTATGATGACATGTCTCAAATTTTCGCATGGAATTGTTCACCTATATTGCATATGATCCATTATTGTATGTACAATTTGTATTTTGTATGTATACTACATTATGAAATTTGTGATGATTGCACCGGCCATATATATATATATATATATATATATATATATATATATATTATAAATTAACTGATTTAAAATATTGTTTTTTCGCTACATAGTAATAACCATGTTTCAAAAATAGAAGCTAAAAGCTTCGAATTTATTTTTGTAATTAAATTAAAAACATTAGTTTCATCCTGAAGCGATTTTGGAGACTCCAAAATTTGCTTGAGGATGAAATGGAACCATTGTTTTTATTTTAATTACAAAATTAAATTCGAAGCTTTTAGCTTCCATTTTTGAAACATGGTTATTACTGGGTAGCGAAAAAAAAACATATCTTAAATCAGTTAATTTATAATATTAATGCTCTGTAAATTTACTTTGAGCACTGTTTTGTAAAAATAAAAATATCAATAAGAACACCGGATTACATATCTTACTGTTCTTTCTTTCTTTATATATATATATATATATATATATATATATATATATATATATATATATATATTTGTGTGTGTGTGTGTGTATTTTGAAATGACCTAAATAAAAAGATATGAGCAAACATATATGCGTGGTATTCCATACATTTACAGGTGAGAAAATAACTACTTATTTAATTTTTGGTGTAGACAAAACAACACTCAATGGGTTAAACAGAGCCACACATATATACACATTATATATATATATATATATATATATATATATATATATATATATATATGTGTGTGTGTGTGTGTGTGTGTGTGTGTGTGTGTGTGTGTGTAAAATTGTTTTCAATCTCTTTTGCATTTTCAGGCGATTTTGGTCAATCGATTTCCCTAACGCTTTATTTTTAAAAATAAATATTCATGAAATCTATATTTTAAAAAATACCCCAAAAAACAAAAACAAAAATGAATGAATGAATAGACAATTATGACCCGTTGTATACATACTAAAAAGTTCCTTTTGAGTTCATTTCAAGTGGGATGAAAAGAAAGTCTGTATATTTCATTTATTCACCGAACCGATACATTTCCATTTGATTTTCCCCCTCCTCCTCCTTCTCCTCCTCCTACCACACCTCACGTCGTGCAATTACTCATTTATTTATTTATTTATTTATCTAAAAAATATAGCGTTCATGAATTTATTCAGTGGTTATACGGACATTTAACCGCTCTGAAGATGGATTATGTGAGCCGAAAGCTTAATAGAGAATAATATCCCAATATTGGACAAGTTTTTTTTTTTTTATTTTCACCCGAAATTAAAGCAGACATATGAACGGCTCATGATCAGACATAATAGACAATCATTGACTTTTTATTATATATATATATATATATATATATATATATATATATATATATATATATATATATATAGGTAAAAATCCGTGGGTAAATAACCCAAATGGATCCTAATAATATAAAATATTAAAAATGATCCACAAAGAGAGCTCAATGTATTTATTACAGAGCATATATAAATTAATTATATATAATTGAAATTCAAAGATATCCCATATGAATAGCTATTTCTCCCAGCAAGAATTAACACTTAGTGTTGACAAAAATTTGCTAGGTTAATTCTTGCGCGGAGAAATAGCTATTCAAATGGTGTATCTTTGAATTTAAAATATATATAATTATATCTCAATTACATATATATATATATATATATATATATATATATATAGATAGATAGATAGATAGATAGATAGATAGATATATGCAATTCTCATATACCGAATACAGTTCAATGAGTTTTATCATAATGCTAACTTTTGTCGAATTAATTTCCTTTTTATTGCCGCCTATTCAAAAACACATATATCAGTACGCGCATACACATTCACACCTCGGTATTATGTATTGGGATGGGGTGCAGAATTAATATCAATTTCAGCCACCGCGACGCGAATGAGTCCGAAATCTTATTGTCGAGAACGCCCCAAATCGGTAGATTTTATCAAAATGTCTTTGTTATTTTCGAAGTAATTATGTACATTTAAAACTAAATGGAACTATTCGGGAAATTTTTAGTTAGAAATTGAGCGCGGGACTTGAACTGCAAATTACCCCCGAGGAATTGAAATTAGTTCTGTCACCCATGGGGATACATCGATCTTCGGAGTGTAATAGCTAGGAAGCTGGTCTCTCTAAATCAATTACAACTGAGTAGTGAGTTCGATCCTCAATCGATGTTTCATTTAAAATCGCTAAATATGATGTATTGATAGGTAGAAAGAGAGAAAGAGTGTGAGCGGGCGAGTGAGTGCTAGAAGCGGGATGTCGCTCTATAGGCGAATCACGATTTATTCGAGCACGTCGGCGTAGCCATAAAAATGACACTACGGTAGGAAAATTCTGTCACTAGCAGGCGAGACCAGCTCGCTACTCGATGAACCTCGATTGGTGATACTCAGTAGAGATCGATAAGGAAAAATAATGTCGTATCTACCATTATTCGACAAATTCGATCATGGCATCTCATGGAAGGTTAAAGTTTGCAATTAATGCACACAATATCGCACATGTACGAATATTCATTAATAACCACAAAATCCAAACGCAGTGAGAGAGAGGGGGGGGAGAAAGAGAAAGCGAGAGAGAGAGATAGTGAAAGATTGAGGAAGAAAGAGAGAAAAGGAGAAAGATATACATAGAGAGAAGGAGAGAGAGAGCGAGAGAGATAGAGAAGGAGAGAGAGTGAAAGAGATAAAGGGAGAGGAGACAGATATCTATATATCTATATATATGGAGAGAGAGAAAGAGAAAGGGAGGCAAATAGAGAGAGAGAGAGAGAGAGAGAGAGAGATTCAAATCATATTTGTTCATCTTCTTTTCTACAATCTCTTTCTCTTTTTGTTCCTCTCACTGTGAATTCTTTTTCTTTCCGGGCACTTCTCACTCCGCCATTCCTCTCTGTCTGTGTGTCGATTTCAGTGTGTCTGTCTGACACCCTTTTTCTCTTACATTCTCTTTCTCTCTATGCCCCAAACACTTCCTATCTATCTATCTATCTATCTATCTATCTATCTATCTATCTATCTATCTATCTATCTATCCCAGTTTTTTCAAATCTATCTATCTATCTATCTATCTATCTATCTATCTATCTATCTATCTATCCCAGTCTATTCAAATCTATGTATCTATCTATTCCAGTCTATTCCAGTCTATTCAAATCTATCTATCTATCCCAGTCTATTCAAATCTATCTATCTATCTATCTATCTATCTATCTATCTATCTATCTATCTATCTATCTATCTATCTATCTATCCCAGTCTATTCAAATCTATCTATCTATCTATTCCAGTTTATTCCAGTCTATTCAAATCTATCTATCTATCCCAGTCTATTCAAATCTATCTATCTATCTATCTATCTATCTATCTATCTATCTATCTATCTATCTATCTATCTATCACAGTCTGTTAATTATCTATATATCTATCTATGCTGGTGAATATCGAGGGAATTTTTTAGCTCAAATAAAATTTTAAAAAATGAATTTAACGTGGGTAACGTCTGCGCAACACAATCTTCCCGCTCCTCTAACCACCAATACATTCGTATACTTTCAAAATCTACAGCACCTATTTGGTGAAAAGATCTCTATTGATATAGCAGGTCTCTCTCTCTCTCTCTCTCTCTCTCTCTCTCTCTCTCTCTCAGATCCTTTTCTCCAAAATTTTCGTCTTTCTGCCGTTTTCCCCACCCTCTCCTCCCAATGTTTTCTCTTTCTTTCTCCCTCT